AAGCCGCTCGTGGTTTCTTCGGTGCAGGCATGAAAATTGACCAAGACCAGTACTCAAACGGCGTACTGATGGAAGTAAATTAAACAATGATCCGAATGCGTTTTCTGAAACATCTCGTAGTCCTTCCAGCGGTACGCTTCTTCAGCCCACAGAGCCAAGTTTGCCCGCGAGTGGTGCCGACGACAGCTGCCCGACTTCATTGGTGAAGAGGAATGGTCATCCTATTTTCCAGAGCTTGACTCACATGAATCCCACGAATGGTCCCTGATTAGAAGAGGACCTGTCGAGTTTGCAGTCCCAGTTTAGAGTCCTAGAATGCAAAAGCTGAAGGACGGCTGGGAAGAAATGGAGAAGGATACCTGTGGGCCACATGCGATCAAGTCGAAAGCAAACCTTGACTTCTATTCGCGCTCACGGGGGATATTTTGAAATGCGACTCTAGCATGTTGTAGCACATAGTGTTAGCTAGCGTGCATAGAAATTCCATCGTCTTTCGCGGTTGAGAAGTTTCAAATATATTGCTATAAATCGGCGCAAATAATTTTGGGACACCCTGTATATCACCTGGGCATAAAAGAAAGATGGACACCATTTGATTCCCTAGTGAGAGTCTACTGTTTGGTAAATCTCTCAAAACTTCTCCGTGTCCCTTAGTCTACCATTATTTCCATTTGTGGGATCATCCATCTTGTCCGACCCCATTTAGAATCGAATCATTATTCATCCCGTTCACGTAGCTCGTCCTCTCTTCAAATGTAAATCCCCGTAACATCCACTTTTCAGTGATTTTTCGTCCTTCACACTTTGGTCGACGATCCTGCACATCCTCCTTTTGTAATGTCTGTTTTTCGCATTGATGATCTAACGAGTTCGCTGGACAAATCGGTCCTTTCAATGACGTTCATTCCCGGAATCGCGCTCTCCAGTGAGCTTCCGGACCTTCCGAGCCATCTCACCATCCATTATCCCATTAGAGCGTAATAGCTCGAGAACGCCTATTTGAGTTTTTGGATCCCTATGTTTACAGAAGATTCAGAAGGAGATAATGAAGATCGAAGAATCTTCGGATTTTCTCTCTCTTCAGACCTTGTTATGAAAGTGTCAGCCTGAAGTCTAGAGATGCAAGGAGAAGGAGAAGTGGACGCTGACATTGAGTCGTTCGCTGGGATGAGCCATGCAGCCAACTTCTATTCAGATGCGATCAGCCCATATAGAAGTGAATGCATGTATTTCCTTTGAATGGGTTTGAATCATTATCCAAGCAAAGAGTCTTGCGAAGCTTGTTTTGCCCAATTCCGAATAGTTCCAGAATTCAGAGTGAGCCATAATCAGAGTGTTCAGGTGTTATTTACGTCTGTTCCGCTCGAATTCTCCTTGAAAGGCATTGAAGAATTGAAAGGGGGAGAGCGTTTTTCACGAACACTTGTTATGCATTCACCTATGTAAGTTCAGTGCCGAGAGGGGCTAAAAAGGATGACTTTTTTCCGGAGCTAATCAGTCCCGATTCAGGATGAGCCCTGTATTCGATTTCCGTTCAGACGTAGTAGAGTTTAGAATGCGTGTATGGCCTATATACATGTCACCTCCGGTGGCCAGTCAATGTTTAAATCATTGTTTTCTTCCTCCGAAGCGAATGTGGTCCTATTTTACGGACCTCAAAAGGATGTAGGGCTTGGCTTGCCTGGTCAGGATGTATCAATCCGATATTCGATACCGCCGGTGAATGTGATAGTCCGACACCTCCTCGGACCTTTGTTATTATGGATTTCGTTTATATTTATCGATTATATTTTTGCATTATTTGATATTTTTGTTCTAAAATTGTATTCGAAATCCAGTGCAACCTCACATGGCCTATAAATTTCATATGAGTAGTAACGCCCTTTGTCACTACCGTACTTTTGTCCCATATTTTATACTGAATTTTATAACGAAATCATAATATTTTCGTTTTTTTTGTTATTATATCAGTTAAGTAGAAAGTTCAATGTTCTATTTTTCTACCTCTGATGCTTTAATTCATCTTCTGTATACTGCCTCCCTGAAAAAAAGTGACAGCCCACCAATTACTGAGTTTGGGAAAGTTGATTAAGTAGTATCCTAAGTAGCCACCATAACCCTGATTCTTGAACAATTTATTAAAATTCAGATCCGATGAAGATGGACACTCGCCAAGGAATCGAACTGCTAAAGAAGAGGACCCATTTGCTGATATTGTAACACTGCCGTCACCTTCGCAGAAATCCATCAAAGATCGGCATTCGTCGAGTAAGTTTGCGTAGAGGCTCCACTCGAGATATGTACATCAGCTTATCTTAAACTTTCTGTTCTTCTTGAATTCCTCTTTTGGCAATTTCTAGAATATTTCCGAAGTGTTCCAATGATATTTGAAGTCAAATCTTTCGTTGTAACTTCTTTATCCCAGTGGAACGCATTCATGAGAGTTTTCCCGACCTCATTGACTCTTTTCACGATAAAAATCGAGAAGTCCTATTCCCGGACAGAACGACTTCCATACAGGGGTGTGGGCCTTTTTCCTGGAAGGTTCACACTCCTGTACAAAACTTTATAAGTATCTCGAAAGGGTGGCGATATGGTCTTGAGCAAAACGTCGGCCTCGCAACGATCTTGAACACGGACCTGAGCTTCCCTTGCCTCATGAATGCATTACAAGTCATCAATGGATTTCCGAGCATCAAGTTTCTGCTCGTTTCCCAGCCTTTTCCATGAACCAATAAGTGCCGTAACCGTGCCGCAACCGCACGCGGATCAGACCCAGAAATTTAGAATGATCTAGATCTACTATACAGTTAATTATTTTGCCATGAGCCGAACTTTGGCTTCTGTAGCAGTTGACTCTCGCAAGGATATGGGGTTAGCTAAAAAATAAGGGAATTAATGCGTTGGATGCACCTACTCAATTAGATAATTGTAAAGTTAAAGTTTTGAGGTCAGTAATGTTCAGACACAGAGGCGCCGACCGATGACGATTGCCCATACGAGCATCAGCTGAGAGTGGACGAATGTGCCGAACCGATATTGATGTTCTTGCATGATGTGAATGCTATCTACTTCGAGAACTCGAGTCTTCTCTCGGATAAAGACACGTAAGTTATTGATTAATTGATTTGTTGCTGGTCAGTTGCTCTGCAACTTTGTTCCATGGATTTCTCCATAACTTAATTATAATTCATGAAGATTTTCAAATTTCTTTGGTAAATCAATCGCCTATACATTGTAATAATATCTTTCAGGGGGGTCAGATAATCATCAAAACAATCCTATCCATTTTGTGAAAATAGTCATCTGAAACAATCATTTATAAACAGTTAGATGAAAAAACTTTAAAAATTAGATGAAAAAATATTGCAAAAAGAAGTCTAACTCGTTTTTAATCACTTTTGAATTTCAACTTTCATTTTTTTCAATCAATTATCTTTTCTTTTTTGCTCCACTTTACTCGATTTATTCATTATTATTATTCATCGAATCGCTTTACAGTTTAACTTTTTTCATTTTCTCTTGAATAAAAAATTTTTCATGTATTTTATTAAAATGTTCCCGTTTCAGACAGGCAAAGATTGAAAAAGGTTGTGAACTTATGCATGAATACCAGATATGTACACAAGGAGTTTCACAATCTTGTAACCCTGATGAAGGAGTACAGGCATGGAGACAGGTGAGTATATCGATTGACTATTCAATCAATTATTGACCAGTCAAGGTCCGATGGCAGAGCTTGGGCAGAAGAGAAGCCATGAGTGAACAGTGTTCATCGTTTCTCTTGTGTCCCGTCAATGTGGGTCCACTTTCGAATATGTCATATGTGAAACGGGATTTTTTCTTTTAAATTTCGGTAGGGCATTTTTTGTTAATCAGGGAAAATGTTGGGTGGTTTGCGTAGAAGTGGGTGGGGTATGTAGCCGCAGCACTTGCGCGCTCTTTCTAATAAACTGGCCCATCCTTGGAGGATCAGGAGTAGGTCATCAGTCAGTAATCCTATCCTAAACTGCGGATGTGCTGGGAAAACTACTTGCCGCTGCTCTAACTTTCCTGGGAATCAGAATGTAACAAAAAGCAAAGCAAAATAGTCAACATTGGGATTACCCAGTATATCAACTTTATTTTAGGTTGAAGTCTACGCCTGCCAGTTACTCATCCCAACCGTTCGTGAACATCATCAGTGTTTTGGCCGACGACGAGATCCCAGATGTGATCTGAAGTACGTTTTGGTAGAAATCGGCAAACAAACGATCTTTTAAAATGAAATAAATTTTTATTTGCTCAGATTCGACCCGTTGGCATCACCGTTCTGTCGCCTAGTCACCTCCGTCAGTCAAGATGTTCACTGTCTTCAGAAGTAAGTTCATACTCAGTCAATACGTATGCTTTTCACGTCAATCCAAATTATAATAACTCTGCTTCAATGACTGCTTCATTTCTCTCCTCTTCTGATCGTTGTGGTAGGGTGGAAACGAATGTGGTAGAATCAATTTGTAAAGCAAATAAGATGTAAATAATTAAATAATACATAGGATAAGCCAATCAGGTAAATGAGTGGAATTAGGTCCAATTTAAAAAATTAAAGAATAAATAATCGATAGGCGGATCAAATTGATCGTTCAGATTCACAACTGATTGCTCAGAAGCGGCAACGGAAATGCTCCAGCCAATCATTGAGGAGTCTCAGGAGATCACATCGTCTTTAAGATGTCGCTCACCGGTTGATATCCCTCCTCCCACGACGGTGATTTTTCAACAAATCTATTTTAGTATAATTAAAAATTGATTTGAAAAAAATACGCCAAAAGTTGTTGAGAACCTACACTGAGTTGTATGCAAATTGTCCTCTAGATTACTGTAGCTGCAATCTTGTGTTCTTACGGACTTCCAACCTTTCCTACAGGCAAAAGTTCTTGTTATAGGAAGCTCCCGAACCTACCACTACAGCTGCCAGCAACGAGGACGAAGAACCTGCTACTGCTCCAGCAGCCAGAAGGATCAATTCAGATGCCGTTCTTACCACAAGTAGCCCNGGACCGGTGATTCAAATAACATCAATTGTACCGGAAAATCCGGCTTCTACTACGACTATACCTATTCCGCCCGAAAATATTGGCCGGGTACGGATCGTAGAAAATGTCTTCGATTTTGTTTTACTTTTGCAATTCTTAAGAAAAATTTCTTTTGGAAAATTGCGTACAGGTCACAAGCCATCCTAACAAAGGCAAATGTGGCACTGTGGGTATAATCGAAGCAAGCTACGATACGTTCTAGGTACATACTAGTCAGGGCAAAACGTCTACTGGCGGTCGGTCGTTTAGGCTCCGCCCCAGATCGTCACGTCTACCCAAACGGCGCGCCGTCACCAGCTCACGGCTTCAAAGTGACTTCCTTAAAGGCATAGATCACGATAATTCTGGGGTACATATGTATGTAGACGAGTAATAGAAGTAATATCCCAGAATAGTGCGAAAGTGGTGAAGAGAACGCAAAAATCGGCGTATTTTGAGAAATGAAGGCTTCAAGAGAATAAAACTGTGTTGGACGAGAATGTGAGGACAGAAGTTGCACGGAAAGGGTATTTGGACGAGCTGTCCAAATGAGTGTGCCAGCCGCTGCAGTAAGCTACCTGTGTGCGACTCGGTGCGAATGGTGCAACTCCTACAGGCTCTGCAACGCCATGAGAACTCGTACGCTTTAGGGTGTGTAGGCCAGTTTCGACTAAGCCAGTTTTGGTGCCATTACGACGCCTCATCTAGGCTGTTATCCGACAGCGTCCCTTGTTCTATCCTTGGGGGTCACTGGTTCATTTTAGGGATTAATCTCGAAAAGTATTTTTTATAGTGAACTGTGCCTTTAAGAACTGATTCCCTTAAACAATACAAAAGATGTGACCTGGTTGATTAGAGCTGAATAAACCTAAATCGATCTCATTTACACACTCGAATCAGGTGGTCCGCATTAGGTGACTAAGCTTATTAAGAAATTCTTGTAGACTTCTACAAGAAAAACATACATATTGATCGAGAGTCAAGAAGAGAGATGGGAGCTTTAATAAAGCTATTAAGAGGTAGAAGAACCGCCATGAATAGAATATTTTTTTCACCAGACTTTCTCAGAAAATCGATATCGATTGGAAAATCCGTTTTTTAGGAGCTGAAGATCAATATGAGCGATGCTGTGAATTCCCTGTACTATATATACGACATCTGTTCCTCGGACTATTCAAAATCGCCGTATGCGTCGGTTGCAGCAAAAATCTGCTTACGACAGGATGACATTGCTAAGCAGAGCGATTGCTATCAGAATACGCTTGAAAAGGAAAAATGCGCCATGAGGGTGAGTTCTGGATTCCGGCCTTATCCCACTGGTCGACTGAAGTACTGGGTCACAACTTTCCTGCAAGCTTACCACTCAATTCCAATAATTTGTCCTCCCATATGTTTTCACTACTGTTTCGCAAGTGTTTGAATCCGTTTGGTCACTAACAGTATCGGTCATCGCGCAGATAATTCGTAAAAATCGATATATTGGCTGATTGTATCGATTTCTATCCTGCCTGGTATAGGTCTTTCCATCTATCTTCTTTTTTCTTAAGATTCATTTCGGTTCAAGGTAGTGCATATTCACGGGTACACTTTAGTCTTGCCATAATAATGGAAGCCATTAAATTTGATGGTATTGATCTTATTGATTGGTATTGATTTGTAGGTAGGTGTCGAGTTATAAAACTAACAATGATTTAGTAAATGTCATGGTTATAATTGGCTATTACAGGATGCAAAGACTGAGTGCGAAGCCTTGGAGGCATTCAATGCGAATCTGGATTGTGCCATTGTGACTATGAACGATCTTTGTGAAATCGAAGCGCAGAATTTGGTAAGTAACGAAATTTTGGAGGCTAGGGAAGTAGACATCATGACATACTTATGTTTGCTTCTGAAAAAAACTGATCCCTTACTAGTTTCGTGCCAAGAAGCGCTTTTGGAGTATCCTTCAATAGATAAGCCTTAGAGGCTATTTGCGACAGAACACGGCAATTTCTCAAAAAAAGCACTTCTTTTCCCATCCATTGTGGGGTGGGTAACTCTCCCCGGAAATCATCTCGCCTCGCCGCACCTGGTCGCTCGCAGACGCGCGCAGTGGAGAGATAGGTTAAAATTCCTGGTAGAAGGATACGGTAGCCGCCTCGGAACCACTGCGGCTTGCAATGGTAACTCGCGGAGATATACCCGTTGTTAGGATTGGAACAAATCGACATATCGATTATAATTAGAATGGCGAAAATATGTCTTTGCTACTTGAGTAGATGAATCATGAAAACTACTCCAAATTTTATACATGAATCTGTGAGCAAAGTCTACATACAAGATACAAATCACAACTAATCAATTCCAATCAATTATTGATTTTCCAGGTAATCGAACTCCAAGAAGCAATCAACGATATTATCATAGAGCGAAAATGTTTCGAAGCAAAACAAAAAGTTGTACCTGTAGTGAAGTCCGACGATCCGGACGAGTTCCACCTGGACACGAAGATGACCCACTGCACGGATGAGCAGGTAAGAATCGTCGGGAAATCGATCCATCGACTGATATGGTACAGCCGAGCTCTGAATGGTAATCCATTTGGCGAAGCAAATTCACGGTTGTGTGATGTAGTGGATGAGTGATTGTTTTTCGGGCCGTTTAGTGACCCAAAAATCGATTTATTGATTTATCGATGCAAGTGTTCTCTCTGGTTTTTCTCTGGTGTTTTGTTGGAATTCAATTATACACCCAACAGCATGTCATTTAACGGCTTTGGTGCCTCTACGCCTCTTCCGAAGCCGTGTTCTTCCTGGGCCTCTGTCCACGAGCGACAGACAATTATTAAAGGATGAATGACAGCGACCGGTTATCGAAATGTTCGAATGTCCGAGCGCGGATTTTCCTCATGAACGGCTGGGTCAGGAACGGGGAGGACCAGCAGGGAAATCGTGGGAGGGGAGTGAGCAACTAGATGGGCAATGGCAAAAGTTTTTTTTTTGTGAACTGATGGATTCTTTGGTGTGGTTATTCCTTTTGAGTTGAAATGGGCTAGGGGGAGGGGGGCAAGAAGCGCTGCAATGCACCGACATGAGTAAATGGATCGAATCTCTTTCAAGCCAGTCGAACCTTTTATAGCTGTGGGGTCAACTATGTGGTGGAGGGTTCGTCTAACTCCCAACAATGGCCTAGAAAAGCACGAATTCAAATGCCCCTCCGGTCCTTCACGAGTTCGGATCAGTCGGCTACTTGGGAAAACTAATTGTTTCCAATTTGACCACGCAGCACTCCAATAAATTTGGATTCGAATAAATTTAAACGATGCCCATCGCACCGTCAGTGGGTAGAGACGCAGAGGCGGTACTGGTGAGTTGCCTGGTCTACTCACGTGTCGGACACGCCCTCTTAGAGACGTAGTTACCGAATTAAAATCCTGCTGTGAGTTCAGTAAAACGGACCATTTAAAATCTGACATAAAAAATAAATCTTCATGCTACATTTTGACCAGAATCATGAGTTTCTGAGCGTTCCTCTCCAAATTCTATGGTTCAATTACTTCTGGACTAAGAAATCGATGATCAAACAAGATTGATCGGATGGATCATAGCAGGAGCAGATGAGTTTGACGTGAGAATTTCAGGAAAACGGTGCATTGGCATGTCTGGTAGAGCTATTGGAGGTCAACAAACAGCTGGCACAGTTCCAGAACCTCAACTTCCTGCTAGAGGTTTGTTTGTTACGCCCAAAAACCACCTCTTTGTAAACAGATAGGAATCGGTCATTGCTAGAATTGATAAGTATCCTTATTCGAAGAAAGAAGCTCGATGAATTTCAGATTGCCACGGACAACTCGTCCGTAGTGGCAAACATTTGCGAACTGTATGGAAAATATGAAAAATGTTTGAACGTGAGCGTATTCAAGGATCAAAAACGTTGTGCATTCGCCAGCCCACTTAACACTTTGGCTAGGTGAGTGGACGAGTTTCCCTTGTCATCAACATTATGGTCACTCTACGACTTGATCAAAACTCGTCCAATTTCTCTCCTACCCGTCCCTGCTTCCTCTTCCTCTTCGATACCTCTACAATATTGGAAGATCCGAAAAAAAGGAGAAATGGAAGGGTTCCTGGATACAGATGGGAGACTAGTCTTCTCATTTTTTGAGCTGATTTTGCGGGGGAGTGGATTTTTGAGAAAAACTTCTCAGGTGAACGGTAACCCTAATTTCTTAATGCAGTTCATTAGTGCTAGGTCCAATCTTGAGAGCCTTACTCACGTCGAATTTCCAAGGCGGGCTTTTAGCCTCATTTCGTACCCAGAGATTGGGTAAGAAAAATTTTAATCAGTCTAAGCCATCACTACTTTAGGAGGTTATCGAACTTCAATCAATTTATCGATTTTCTCCACCCTGAAAGCTGAAATCCACTGGAGTCATGGCTTAATAATAAGAAAAGTATTGGCACATGACAGATGTATGATATCTGAGGATATATACCTGAGATCCGCTTACCACTTACTTAGTCACGGAATGATTGAGGGATCCTGATTGGTAGTTCAAGGTGGTATAATACGGTACTGCCCGGGCTGTTTAGCCATGGTCACTACCAAAAGATTACGGCAGTTTCCCAAAACAAAATATTTTCTCATTTCAGAATCGGTTTGGCTCCGATTTGCTCGATCGATTCACGACCTCTGTTAGCCAGTCACAAAGAATGCTTGATGAAGTTGGCTTCACAGGCCAATGGTGACGCTTCCAACTGTCAGAGTGGTCTATCCGGTATTGGAAATACTGTAGGATTGATGATGCAGGTATACAGGGCCATTCACTCACCCTGAATACTTACGAAACTCAATTACTGTCAATTTTCTATTATTTTTATTGCCATTTATTGTCATTATTATTTAATGATTGTTTTCAAATCCATTTTTTTATCTGCGAAATTTCATTCCCATTTTCTTCGTTTTGAATATCATCAGTCTATATCTTAAGAAGTTTCCAAAGCAGTAAACAAAGAGCTACTGAATCGGGATAAGACACCTGGGTGGGGCTTGTGGCTCGCATGATTCTAGACGACCTTGGCGTTCTGGTTACTTACTCCGTAGAATTCTGTGAGTTCGGGAAAGGTCGCTACTCGAAACCCTTCATTTTCCAAAAGGAATGAACGAAAAAAAAAATTAACAAGGTTGGCGATTTATGGACGAGTCAGTTTCGGACGGGGCGCGAACCCGTACTTGTGCTTTCTGTTCACTTTTTTTTTAAAGTTGCATCTTGGAACAGAATCACAAGTTTCTTTGAACTTTTCTACTTGGAACTTTTTACTGTTTACTCAAATTCGTTTGAAAAATTACGAATAGGCAGGGTCCTGAAAAGGATATCTGACCTATACAGTTCTCCATTTATTAGGGTTGAAATTGAAATAGAACTCTATGATTTTTCTTCAATATCGTTAAGATTCTTCAGAAACTATCCATGAATTCGCTAGATAAACATGTAAATAAAACAATAAACATACCAATAAACAAATTACCATTGAGCATCTATGCATATATTCAGGGAATTCATGGCGAAGCACTTCTTTGCAAGTCATTCTATCTGATACGGGATACTTTTACATGCGGTGAGCGAGCAGTTGAACAACAATGTGACCCCGAAGCTCTGAGAGATCTTGGAGTTCTAAAAAGACAGGTGAGTGTTCCGGAGCCAAAGTGAGCGATAGAAGGAATAACATGCTATGCTGGTTCCTCACCCGATAGTTTTTGTTCGGGATTTGCTAACAGTCTTGGCACGGGTTAGGAGAGGCCATCGTAGTGAATGAACACGGGCGCGAACTGGAGTTACCGCAACTGTGGTGCACACCCCGCTAGCTAGCAGTAACCTGGTCTCACGCGCAGTGACATCTCCTGACCCACATGCTTCAGTTACAGTTCATCTATGAAGAATCTTGGAAGAAATCAAATGCGATCGTTATTCAAGTCTGATCTATCCTAGATGACTGAATTGGGCGAAGAAGAAGGTTGTCCACGTGAACAACCAGCCAATTTGGACGAAATCATTGCACGACCTGTGAAACGACCGACACCACCACCTCTTCCCAGGTAATTTAATTACACCTCTCGCAATTGCTAAGCCTCTTCATAGAATTTCGCCAATAGCTTTGTTCAAGAAAAGCTGTATGTCACAAAAGTAGTGGAATTTGGCTTTTTGTAGAAAAAATCGAATAAAAATTTCTAAAAAAATTTCTTTTTCACTTTCGCCGAGAGAATATTTTTGTCTTTGAATTTACATTGAGAATAAAAACCCACAATAGGAGAAGCTGCTTGTCACAATCGCTCTTGTGAAATGTGAGATGAATCGGAGCATGAGAAGCAGGGTGACAATACTACTCTGCGTCTATGACCGTATGTGTGATCGTTTGAAATTAGAACTTCCTAATGCCATTACTGCGGGGGTCCCCTAAAAAAATCTACCGTGCGACATTTATTAAAGTCAAATCGAAATTTCAATCGAAATTTCTAAGTCAATCAATAAATTCAATCGATTTCAGACGTCCCGCTGTGGCTCCAATGGCTCGTGCATTAAACACCGTTCCTCCTACGGGTGCAAGTTCACGTAGCCCTACTAGCCAACAGTCATCCAAAGAAGCTGCCGAATTATCTCCTTCAACAGCACCTCCGATGGTGCCATCACAGTCACCTGCGCCTCCACAGCAACCAGCAACCTGTTCGCCTGAGCAGCAGAAAAAGTACGTATTGATTACCGCTTTTACTCCATATGCTCCAATTAATAATCGATTTCTATGAGTGTAGACTGACTTTTCCGAAAGTACACATCTCTTGATGCGAAAATTACCGTAACTGGATCAATTAATTCCATAATCTTTATCGAATCATGATAGGCTCTGCGAATATCATAGTTATTGTCTGCAAGTCTTTTCGATCAATATAATCAATTTATCGATCGTAGGTTCGAAGTCTGTGTACGACCACTCACTGCATTCCAACCTCATCCGCTGTCGGTCATCAAAGCCCCACGACAAATCGATGAAGCTTGCGAAGAATTCAAGAAATTCCAGGTAATCACTGTGTTTATCAGATGTTTACACTTGGAAAACCATACACATGTTATCATTTCTACCTTATGCACTTTTTGGCTGCTAATGATGTATTACGGAATGGTAGCTAGGCAATTAATTATATGGTATCAAAATAGATCGATAAATCGATTTTTGTATCATTTCAGAGTTGCGTCGCTGAAGTCAGTTGTCATCCACTATGGGCTAAAGGCATGACTGCTATGTTCTCTTATGCTTGTGGAGAAGGTGGTGAAGGCTACAAGAAGGTATGATGCTCAGACTACCAGGAGTTTAGCTTCTAACCATTCCTTTTCAGTGTAATATATAGCTATTGATTAGTTGTTGTTGAATGACCATGACCCTAGGGTTTCAATCTGGAGAACCTGCAGAAAAACGCATTTACCGAATGGTGTTCTAGGGAGGAATATATGTGGACACTACTCCGGATGTAGGGGCATGGGATGGACGAGTTATTCTANATTTCAGAGTTGCGTCGCTGAAGTCAGTTGTCATCCACTATGGGCTAAAGGCATGACTGCTATGTTCTCTTATGCTTGTGGAGAAGGTGGTGAAGGCTACAAGAAGGTATGATGTACAGACTACCAGGAGTTTAGCTTCTAACCATTCCTTTTCAGTGTAATATATAGCTATTGATTAGTTGTTGTTGAATGACCATGACCCTAGGTCAATCTGGAGAACCTGCAGAAAAACGCATTTACCGAATGGTATTCTAGGGAGGAATATATGTGGACACTACTCCGGATGTAGGGGCATGGGATGGACGAGTTATCCTAGTGCCACCAAATGCGGAAGATTAGGCTCATCGTGTCACGGACTGCACAGTTTTCCCTTTCCACTGCCTTTTTTTCCGCCTGGTCGAATTTGTGACCCGAAATCGTACAAGTACGGGTCGAACCTGGTCTCACTTGAACCGCTTTTGACTTTTTTCAAAAAATAATTGACATGAAGGCTCGAACTACCGGTCGCACTCCAATAGAAGTGGGTCGAGCGCCGGTTTTGGTTCATTGCCCAGTTAGATTGCCATAAGTACCATGTCCGCATTTTGTTGAGCCGTTCCGGGGAATAGAATTGAAGAGATATGGCATAGAAGATGCTGTACTTTACGTAGCCAGGAGAATGTAATGAACACGAGCATGTGTGTCATCTTCGATGTTTGTTGACATATAATAATAAACATCGTGCAAAAAGACTTACAGTTAAGGAAGTAGTGATAAGGTTATCCATTTAGGTCCGGCAATGTTTGCGAAAGGTCGTTGCTGAAGATAATGTCAAAGACTGCGTAACGACATTCTCACGAGGAGCACCCACCCAAGCCTGTTTATCCGCTAATAATCTGCTCACATGCTCTATTGCACCCATACAGGTACATCCCACAGTGACCTCCAGTGTATGTCATCGGTGATATTTGTCTGCTCCAACTTCAATCGATTTCAGACAGAATGCGGTGAAGAGACTTCAGATTGGGTCATTAAGTATGTGACGAAATTCGCGACAGCAATCGATCCTCGCTGCAAACTGGCCAGTCAGCTACCGGGTGGGTACCTGAGACCTCCTTGAAGTTTCTCCTACTTTTTTTTGAATTTTTTCGGGTTTTTGTCTTACTGACTGCCGAAAGATTTCAGTCGGCAAAGTGATTGGCGTTGGATGTTCGGCTGATGAGGAGGCGATTATCGAACACTGTGCTGCTCCACTGAATGATATTGGAAGCCGACTTGAAGAACTTTTCCAAGGCGGTTTACAGGCAATGATCAAAAATGTGAACAGCTTGGCACCGGTCTTCGCGGGCGGTTGTAATCTTACTGGTAAGTTCTGGAAGAGTTTGATGTTCGATTGAGTTTGTTTTAAGATGGTTTGAAGCCTTTTTTTGTGTTCACTGGTTACCAATGAGAAGTGTGAAGCTAATTCCCACCACTACGTCGCGTTCCAAAGCTCGGGGGCGGAGCCTGTTCAGGGGGCGTGGTCCGCACCTTGATTGACTTGGCGTGTTTGGAAACTCTAGCATGAAACGTGGTGATTTCTACTTTTCTTTTCAAAACCAACTTTCCAACTCAGAGGGGGATGTACGCGATTTCGATATTATAATATAAGCATGGGAACTCTCATGACTGTAGTAAACCCAGCCTGTCAAGTTGTGGGGAACATAACGCTTGCCATTTAGTATCCTTCAACAGCCTTAAAGTTTAAAAGTCAGTCCTCGATTTCTGAATTCAACAGTGGAACATTCAGATGAGTTCCGTCAATGTGCATCGTTCTTGTTTACTGGACGGACGCCATGTGTTGTGTCGTCATGTATGATCCATGCCGGTGAAGGAATCTGTGATCAACCAGATCCCACAAAAGCCATAGACGACAATCTCAGCTGCGTATTCGCCCAGGTAAGCAGAAGCTCGCTTGGATTCATTTTCGTTCTGTTTGGGACAAAATTGCTTGTAAATAAGAATTTTTGAAGTTGTATAGGAATGGAGTAAGAAGTTTGGACCGCGCCTTTTGTTGTTCCGAACTGCCAAAAAACGCCTCTTTTGAAAAGCCACGCCCACTTCTGAAGCTGAACGTCCCTCCATTGCCGTTTTGAGGGATTTTTTAATGACAGGCTTTGCCTAGCGTGTCCTAGACTGTATGTGAAAGACCCATGGATCGCTAGTAATAAGTGAAGGGAGACTACTTTCATTTCGAGAACCGTTCAACAGCGTCCAATCTGCAAGACTTCTAGATAGTGATCGTACCACCTAGCTTGGACGAGTTTTCGCTATCGCTTAGACAAGTTCTCATGCTTTCAGGTACAAGAGCCAGCATTCGCGAAATGTGTTCGATCAACATTGTCCACCGTGAAGCAGTTCACTCTCAGCTCTTTCCGGAATATATTGCCGAAGTTTATTGACTGTACCGAACAGATGGTGCTTGCAAAATGCGGAGAAACGCCCATAAATGTACGTCGTTTCTTTTTCCCACGGGATCGAGTAATCCATAAACGAGCCGATTCTTCCAGGTGCTTCGAGCCATGTCATCGCCTGATATCTGTCCCGTTGGTCCAGCACCAATCGTTCCTGTTAATAAGGCCCGTGTACCACAACGTGTGGAACCGCAGGTAAGTCTCAAAAAGATTCAGTCGATTATCGATCTCTAATTGGTCTCCTTTACAGTTGCCCACATGCACTCCAGAAAAGCAGCAGGCTTATGATGGATGCACTCGGCCATTCTTCACACGATACCGTATGTTGCCGATAACACTCATCAATGAGATGGAAAATATGGACCAGGTATACGGTATCGAATGCTATAAGTAGATCATGGATTACGGTAGTTGTTTAGGTTTGCTCCGATGTATCAATCATGGACGGCTGCTCAATAGCCACAAGGGTTTGCGCCACTGCTGAGCAGACAGCTTTGAAGAAGATGGTCGAGCAGCTGTGTGCCAGTCGAGAGGCCTACGACCATTACAAGATTTGCCTGAAAACAGTGGCCAGTAGCCAAACGGTAGGAGTTTCTTAGTTGAACGGCTGGAGAAAAGCCAGTAGAGGAAGATTTTCATAAACTGCGGGGAGAGCTCTCTTCTTATGTGCTAGTGAAAATGACTTCAAATGAGTCTGGACTAGTCAGAGTCGGGTGACATAGAAGCAGAAGACTATGATGGTACATATTTGGGAGGGTTCTTTTGCAAATGTGCACGCAGCACTGGAGGGATTAGACTGGAGAATCTACCATTATTAGCCCAATACTGGGGTGAGAAAGGATGAGTCTACTTCAGCTTGGCCCCAAGGTTATATTTTATAGCTTTCAGACCAATAGGTGGCCACAACGAGTCCTTAATTTCTTATTTGTCGCTTCAAACAAGCTCAGAATTCATTCATTTGCAGGGAGCTTCGTGCATGTCTGAGTTCATGTCATCAACTCCTGGTAGCCGATGCTCGGCCCTTCAGAATGCTGCAAACTGCATGGCTAAGCAGGTTTGTTTCCTAATATCTACTATCCATTTTTCCCTCTTTTGGACGTAACGAGGGCCTTCTTGAAATGACTAGTCAACCTAATCGTTCAAAACGTTCTCTGGCTAAACAGCTTGATCCGCAAAGTACTGCCCAAGCCTCACAAACCCCGCCCATTCTATGCCACCCCAAATGAAAGATAAAAATGTGTACAATCCGAAGAAAATGCAATGCATTGTTACACGTTACCGAAGCGTTGTTTTTATGAAGATGTTCTTGAGAAACTCCGGGAAACTCGTCCTCTTATCGATTTCGACATGATAAAGGCTCTACTTCCCATGCTTAATGAGATTCTTCCACGAACGAAAATGCCTCAGTCTAGCTTACCTTTTAGGTACTGGCTAGAGGCAGTAGGTTTAGATTTCCGGAGCTGCTACATAGGTCGTACTGCATGGTTGGAGGTTTTGTTTGGTACCAGCAGAGAAATCGCTACATATGAGGACCGAAAACGAATGCCCATCTGGTTGCAGTCAAAATGGGAGATCCCGAACCACATCTCCACAGCTTATTACCAGTATCATTTGCAGGTACGTGATAGCTGTGGTGACGATGCGCTGACATACTCATTCGCTGCGATGAATGACTACGCCCGAATGATGGACAACCGATGCACGGTACGACAGTTAAGAATTATTGATTTTCAATACAATTGTAATTCAATCGATCACAGGTCGACAAACCTTCAGTATCGATTGCTACTGGCTGTTCTGAACAGGACATGGTCGCATACCTTTCCTGTGAAAGCTCAATCGATCCGTTCAGCTTCCGACCAGTCTCCATCATTGGGTAAATTGTTAGGTAAACTCTTGAGTAATGCACAAAATGGGAAACTACATTTCAGTGATGGCTCCAAATGGGATGAAATGTGTGCGGCTTTCTCGACATCGTATAAACCTTGTGTTGAGAAGATGACATGCAAATTCGAGCCAGTTTCATCTGCTAATCTGCTACTGTTCGACGGCATTTGCAACAGGTCTGTTTAGATAAACTACCGAACGAGCCATTTCCGACGTAGAATGGGCGGAACTCCGCACACAGTATCGGGAAACTGATTGTTTCGTATCAGCTGACACCTTTTATGAAGTTCACATTCCAATTTAGCATCGTTTCAGGCCTATTACCCTCCGGGACCAGAAGTCGTACGGTCGCTGCTTGTCCGACTACACGAACAGCCCTGCTGGTCAAAAATGTATCGCTGCCATGGCCGGTGTTGATCCAATGGCCTCGGACGCCTCCAGTAAAATGTGTCAAGTGTAAGCTACCTGTTCTAGCGCGTTTTCTTATAGGAATTGAAGATAATCAGATCGTAATGGCCAGCTTTGTGCACGTTATAAACCCTGTGTGGTTCTCCCTGCATGTAAAATGCATGGCGCAACCCAGAAGGTGTAGTTCTCCGTTTTGAT